TCATGTCAGTCTTATGCACACCCCTTCAAGTAAAGTGTAACCATTTATATTTTATATTATATCTTGTTCTTATATCTTGTGAGTTCGGCGGCCTGGGCATGGGCCGGCAGACGGGGCTTATATTCCCATTCGTGGAAGTACTGAGCGGCACAGATCGAGGATAACCCCAGGGGGGCTAGAATTTCCCTCTTGACCTCCTTATACTGATCGGCAGAGGCGGCGGGAAGAGCGAAGTATGCACGCTGGGCTTCACCCGTCAGCAGGGGAGCCAGATATATCAGGCTAAAGCAGTACAGTGCATGCATGTGATGAATGTAGTGTTGCTAATGAATAACCAATAGTGGGTGCATTTTTTAATACTCGTGTGACAAGCGCATATGTGATTGATGTCAGTAGGCTATAATCGATTATGGTCTATTACTGCAACGATGCAGAATTGTCCATGTCCACATCACGATGCATCGATGCAACGATTAATTTCAGTACCCCTAGCGTTCAGGCAGCATGCAATCTCACAGCAATGCCTGGAATTACTATTGTAAGAGAATATACAAATGTTGAATCTTACCAGTGGGTTTCCCAGGGGGCATGAATTCTGGCAGGAGAGTACATCCAAGGACTCTGAGGACTGTTGCTGAGGACGTTCATATGGGACATTAAACGTACATCATAGATTTTAGTATGTGATGTACCACTCATGTCCACAGCCTGATGAGCCCGGTTAATGTTCCATCTCGATGCACCCTCAAGCATGTACATTTGAGTATGAAGAGCATTACATCTCCACCCTGAAAGACAAAATGTTTCACATGGTTAAAATACCATTATAAACCCCCCTCAAAACTACCAGGCCTAAGAAAAAGTTTCAACTGATAGGTAAACACTTATCCAGTTGTATAATATTTAAGTTAATTTACTTCTGACCAAAATCTGTTCAAATTTTATGCCTTTTATTTTGTGGCAATTTTTCCCTGTCATTTTAAAAATTTTATTTGATGTTTTTCAAGGTATTGTTCGAAGTTAGAAATTCCAATATTGTTACAATACTACTTAAATATACACATGATATTGTCTTATCATTTCAATTTACCTGGAATAAAAGTGCACTGGTGGCGATGAAAGCTCTCCAGAGAAGACGACCCTCTGCCACACTTCAGTACATCCAGAACCTTGTCTCCCTTCTGTAACCCGGAGCCCAGTTTCGTGTAAAGCTGAACAGCGGGTGAATCTTGAATGCAGGGTAAATGCTTCTGTTGCACCTCCCACACGTGCGTCATGCTCTCCGGATTGATGAGGTGCAGACCAGTCGTGTCAGTCAGTTCCCACATGGAGTCCAGCAGTCCTTGAATCAAGGCACGAGTTTCTTCAACTCCCCGTGTCCTCCTCCTGCAGTGCTTGGTCAGCTCACTGGAGGTGATGCTTGACAGGATTTGGGCCTCTGTCGGGATATGCCCCCCATGTTTTTTTAAAAGCATGGTCTTTTTCGCCTCTTTAAGACGAGAGATGTCATCCTTGTCCCATTCAAAGATACAGCTGGACAACTTGGAGCAGAAAGTGCCATACAGTGGATGGTGCTCCGTTGTAAGACCAGCAGTGAACCGTCGCATAAAGTGGAAGACATCAAGACGCACTGTGACCTTCCATGGTCGAAACCAGGTAAGAACTGGAGTCACACCTACACCAATGAGAAACAAGGAAAGAACCTATGCATTTTCTTCGATTTAAATTTGCACCATTAAACAAATATGCTAATCCTGTTTTAAATACATTTTTGTTTTATTGATTGCAAACAGTGAACTGGGGTTCTCGTGCTACATTTTTTATTTTAAATAGTTCTAAAAAATTCTCCTTAGGAGTGCTCTTAAGAAATATGAACAAACACTTGAACAAAAGCCATGTAAATTAACTATCCAGATTAGTGGAAACCATGCAGATCTGCGATTTATTCTCATTCAGAAACTTGCCTGAAATGCTTGCTAATATGAATTAGAAATGTATAAACAGCATTCCAAATATTCCTATCAGGAAAAGTTATAAAGCTACAAACCCGTCCCGCTGCAGCAGTCCCTGTCAACATAAATCACAGCTGGCTCTGGCTCCCCAGCATCCTTGTATCGCTTCACGATGCCCTGACACAACTCATCCAGACCGGCTCCCTCACCAGTTGTTAGGACACAGTTTAGGACTTGGCCAAACTCATTGCCAACGTTGGTCATCCAGGTAGCAGTGTCCGCAATGCCACCAGCAAGCTTTTTAGTGATCTATATAAATACATAAGCACATCAGGTATAATCACTGAAGATCAATATAAGTTTACATGCATTTTGCTGTGCTGGGCAACGTTTAAAATTTTTAATCGCAATTAATCGCATTGTTATGCACAAAATTCTATGTGAATGTTGATTAATTAATACGTTAACTTGCCCAGCCCTAATATATATATATGTATATACATGTATATATGTATACATACATGCACTTACCTTTTTGGTAGAATCAAGCTTCAGGATGCTACCATATGTTGATGTTATGACACCCTTTAGCTCATCAAGGTGACTCAGAATTTCATTGGCACAGTGGTTTGAGACCGCCCATGCCAGAGGTAGGGGGCAAAAAGGTGGCGGCTGCTCATAAACCACTTCCAGCTGGGTCAGGGCACATCTGTTTTTGTGAAGCTCACAGTCCGTCAGGTAGTCTATAGTCCGCCTTGCCCACTCCTCGCTATGAATTTCTTCCAGCGCTTGCTGCAAGTAACTGGAGCTGTTTCCTGCAGTTCTAGGCTTCAACATGGTCACGCACTTCCTGTCAAGGACAAGGTGAGTGGTGAGAACAGCGGGGAATTTATTCCTGTGAGAGGGATACAGTTGTTTAAGGATCTCTGAACTCCAAGGGCAGACAGGAATCATACACTTACTGCAGCGAGGGTAGTCTGCTCCAATTAAGTAGTATCTGGAGTCAACATCAATGACTTCCCTCACTTTAGTGTAGATACCTGAATGGTGCATCTTCCTATTGCACTGTGTGCATTTCAGAGGAATACCCCACATCCTCATAGGGGCCCACAGAAACATCCTCTGCCTGAAGTAACTGCTTGGATCAGGCAGTGAAGTAGTAGGCTTGCTGGGACTTGGTGGATGAAACCAGTTTTGGGGAAACTGCTGCTTCAGTCGCCCTGTGCTGTCATACAGACACTGAGCTATCCACTTTTGGTCTGCTGGTTTGATCACGCGACAGAATTGCTTGGGGAGAAAACTCACCCAGTACACTTCTGGAGGCCTCAGTGATGGAGTGTGAAGTGTAGTTTGTGGAGCTCCTTGCTGCTCTTCGATGTATGCAGGTGACTGAGCAGTCGATGTTGTGGGAGATACTGCTGGTGGATCCACAGATGGTCTGTCTTGGTCTGAAAGACTAATCAAACGATGATGATTATCAATGTGGTGAAGCAGTCCAACTGCACCCCACACTTTTGCACCACACTGGTCACAGCATTCTTGGACATGGTAGTCTGATAGATGTTCAGTGAAACCCTCCACATTAACGTCTTCGCTACAAAGAGCACACTTAATTGAACTGCTGCTCTGAGGGGCCGCTCTGGAACCTGCACTGCTCTGAGGGGCCGGGCTGAAGACTGCACTGCTCTGAGGGGCCGGTATGGAGCCGCCACTGCTCTGAGTGAAAGTGAAAGTGACGTGACGTGGAATTGGAAGTAGTGCTCTGCATTTAACCCATCCAAAGTGCACACACACAGCAGTGAACACATAGCAGTGAACACACACACACCGTGAACACACACCCGGAGCAGTGGGCAGCCATTTATGCTGCGGCGCCCAGGGAGCAGTTGGGGGTTCGGTGCCTTGCTCAAGGGCACCTCAGTCGTGGTATTGAAGGTGGGAGAGAGCGCTGTACATTCACTCCCCCCACCTACAATCCCTGCCGGTACGAGACTCGAACCCACAACCTATGGGTTACGAGTCCGACTCTCTAACCATTAGACCACGACTTCCCCTGAGGGGCCGGTATGGAGCCGTCACTGCTCTGAGGGGCCGGTATGGAGCCTGCACTGCTCTGAGGGGCAGGGCTGAAGACTGCACTGCTCTGAGGGGCGGGTCTGGAGCCTGCACTACTCTGAGGGGCCGGGCTGAAGACTGCACTTCTGTGAGGGGCCGGTATGGAGCCGGCACCGCTCAATGGTCCTGCCTGCATGCCTGCACTGCTGAGGGGTCCTGCCTGCACGCCTAATGCTGTCTGCTCAGCTGACTTAAAAAAAAAAAAAAAGTGTTAAGTTTTTCTCTGATTATATTGCCATTGCCTAAACAATGTTCTTTTAGCCTTAAAAAGGTGCATCATTTGGTACAAAAATATATAATGCCTCTAAATGATCAAAATCAAAACTTTGCTGAAAAACATGTTGAACACAATTACTACATGCCTTCTGTCATTTGATTCATACTTTAGATTTTTTAGAAACTAAAAGTCATTTTAGAATAATTGTAAAAACACCCACCTTCAGGTCTTCATACAAGTAGAATTCCATTTAATTGTACTGATGTACACATTTACATTTACATACATACGTACAATTACTGCATAAGTTTGCCAAGTTTGTGCTTGTGAAAATAAAACTTGTTACCTCATCAAGTATGAGCTCCATACTTTCACTATCATGATATGAACCAAAACTTAATGTATAAAATGTTACAATATTTCAAGCATTACAGCACAAATCATGAGCATTTTTCTGCTATGAAAAAAATTAATAAATTAGTTATCATTACATACCTTATGATACCCGCATTTGCAGGGGATTCTTTTGCCAAAGATATCGTAAACACGGGTCTGTCTGTGTAATGGGCAGTTATTGATTTTTTCCAAGGCATCCTTCCACTTCTTTGCCCCTGGCTCCTTGCCTGTAGTGAAGTGGTACTTCCCTTGGGCGTACTTCAACATGATGTCATGCCAGTAGGTTTACCTGTCTTAGTCATGTCTATAAATATAAAACAACAGGGTAAATATCAGACAACTTGAGACGGATACAAATGAAGTGAAAAAAAAAAAAGCTACTTTTTTAGCTAGAAGGGTGTTTTGACCCATGGATGCTTGTTTGATTATATACCTAGATGGTTGTATATGTTTGTTAATTGACTATTGCCTGTAGCACACTTTTTTTTTTTAATTACATGGTGAATATAATGAATAATGACGTCTAAACTAAATTAAAATAAATAAATAACCGTGACCCAGATTCGAACCGGGGTTGCTGCGGCCACAACGCAGAGTACTAACCACTATACGATCACGGCGTGCCGCTTGCTCACCCATGGAGACTACTGCAGCCTGAATACAAAAAGCACAAGCGGTGTGTATCTCCATTTCAAAGGGGCTGGACATTTCGCATATCTGTGCGAGGGATATGAAAGAAAAATGCATGGCCACTTATCCTCATGGCTGTCAGCAAAGTGTGTAGGGGAGACCCCAATGGATTTCTAATCCATTGCCTTAGCCACAACTACAGGCCCTGTTTGTTTGCAACACTGCTGCCTGACCCACTTGAAATCCATAGCCCTAGCCAGCTCAGTCACCCAGCGAAGATTGCAAGCTAGCAAACTCCAACTGTAGTCGGCAGGGTTCAAACCTGCGCAGAGAGACCCCAATGAATTTCAAGCCCATCGCCTTAACCTCTCGGTCACGACTACGCTTGGCTGCAGCTTGCCTGCTCTCTTGTCTGGTGGCTATCAGCACAGGCCAAGCTTCAAACACAAAATCCAGCTGAAGGATGAGGTGGAAAAAAGGGTTCAGCCGTCCCCCCCACTGCTCAACGGCAAAGGGATGCCGTGACCCGGATTCGAACCTGGGTTGCTGTGGCCACAACACAGAGTATTAACCACTATACGATCACAGCGTGCCACTGGCTCACCCATGGCGACTACTGCAGCCCGAATACAAAAAGCGCCAGTGGTGTGTTTCTCCATTTCAGTGGGACAGGACATTTCGCATATTTGTGCAAGGGATATGAAAGAAAAATGCACAGCCACTTATCCTGCTGTCAGCAGAGTGCATAGTCAGCAGGATTCGAACCTGCACGGGGAGACCCCAATGGATTTCTAGTCCATCGCCTTAACCAGTCGGCCACGACTACAGACACAGGCCCTGTTTGTGTGCAACACTGCTGCCTGACCCACTGGAAATCCATAGCCCTAATGAGCTCAGTCACCCAGCGTAGATTGCAAGCTAGCCCTGCAAGCAGATAAAACAGCGGTCCCACTGAGGAGAAATCAGGCTGCCATGTCTCATCCTCTGGAATGGGGTTTTTCAGTGCTGGCCCTGGGGACCCACGACACTGCACATTTCGTAGGTCTGTCTTACGCCTGTTTCACACATACTCCGTCTGCAGTGCGTGTGCGTTGCGGTTTTTTTTACGCACCCATGTTAACGGATTAGAGCGTTCACACTGCACGCGGTTGCGGTCCGTCAGTGCGTTCCAGGTGCGGCGCGTCTGCAGCAGTGCAGCGATCGTTTACGCACCGAGTCTATTTTTGCTGTGCTGCACGCGCTGAATTAAAGTGACAGCGCATTTTTCGGGTAAAAATTAACATGGATTGGCACAGAAATATAGTAATTAGTAATAGACCCATGTTAACGGATTAGAGCTTTCACACTGCACGCGGTTGCGGTCCGTCAGTGCGTTCCAGGTGCGGCGCGTCTGCAGCAGTGCAGCGATCGTTTACGCACCGAGTCTATTTTTGCTGTGCTGCACGCGCTGAATTAAAGTGACATCACATTGTTCGCGGTAAAAATGAACATGGATTGACACTGAAATGTAATAATTGCATGATATATGCCTAATTAAAATGTAATATGTTATATAGTTCCTAAATGTGAAGAAAAAAATAATTAAATAAAAAATATAGTCCCAAAAATTGCAAAAGTACATTTGATATAAAAAAACATTTTCCCCCTCATGAAATACATTACATATATATTTGGAGGAGGAGGGAGAGGGGAGAGAGACTTGTATCTCAGCCGGCAATCACGTGACAGGCTTAACAACAGAAACATTACGGTATATATTTATTTTGTTTAAACGGGGAAAAAAGTTATCGCTGTAGGGCCTCATATGTTGTTCGTGAATACTACTATTTAAAAATGTTGTGTTGGTCGTGAGTGACACCTTCATGCCATTCGCAGCTGTGTGTATTTACGTTTGCACATGAAATAGCCTGTTACATTATTATTTTTTTTTTATATAATTAGTACGTCATTTACTAAGGGCAGAATTTGCAGAAAATATGTACATATAGATGCAAAACTGAAAAAGTTTGTTTTAATTGTATTATTATAATTATGACATCATTATAAAGTCAGAGTGTAGCCTAAGTAGCAATGTGTAATTATACATCTTCAGTACATAACTTTATAATTGAGAATATATAAAGTAAATATATTTAAAAATCCTGACAATATGAATGCATATCTTAATATATATTGTTTACATCTCAATGCTAATATGTAATTATTATTAGGCATAGCAATAGATAGACATACTTATTAACATGTTAAATTGTGTAGAAAATCTTTTGTCACTACAGCCAGCCTTTTCTAAATTACTGGAAAAATATAACTCGGTGTAGACAAGTGAAGTGCTCTTACAGCAATTAATAAAGAACACCATCTGAATCGATAAATGTTTACATGATGTATAAGACCAATAAAACAGTAAACTAGTGTACTCTTACATCAGCAAAAAAAAAAGAGTCAAGATGTGGTTACATTCTGTTTATTTATTTTTTAATTTATTTTCTCTTACTTTCAAACATTTACTAAAGTGTTTTTGTTTTTGTTTTATTTATTTTTTCACCAAAAAAGGTAACTATTTACAATTCAAATTGTCCTCTACATTCAATACAGTTGTACTTTCACATCGGTGGAGAAGGTTAACAGATAGTCTTACATCATCTGTTCTTGCCAGGACACCCTGCCTTCTGGGGAGTTGAAAAATGTACAAAGTCTCTCCCGTACATCATAGGCTTCCCTGCATCCCCTATTGCCACCCATATGTCTCACATGTGGTAGCACTTCCCCTCTTTCTTCGGCCTCATCCAGCCACTTTTGGTTCTCGGAAGGATTCAGAAGGTAACTGTGGAGTATGCAGGTAGCAGTGACCACAGAATCAGCATTTGACGGCATCATATTCATCTTTGTGTGGAGTACCCTCCACCTGGATGACAAAATTCCAAAGGCACACTCGATAACCATCCGTGCCCGAGATAGTCTGTAGTTGAAAATGCATCGCCATTGTGGAATTTGTTTTCCAGGAAATGGCCTCATTAAATTTATTTTCAGGGGAAATGCCGCATCTCCCACCATGGTGTACGGCATTGGGCCTTGCGCCCCAGACCCTGGCAAAGGGCAGTCTGCAGGCACAGACAACTTTTGGGCCTCCATTGCTCGTCCAAGTACTGAACCACTGTAGACTCCTCCATCACTTGATCTTCCAAAGTCTCCCACTTGTAGAAAAGTGAAACGGTATTCAGCATCAGCCAATGCTAGGAGGACAATTGAGAATGTCCCCTTGTAATTAAAGTACAAGCTCCCTGAATGTGCCGGTGAAACAATGGTTACATGTTTTCCATCGATTGCACCTATGCAATCTGAAAAATTCAATTTATTCCAAAATTTGGATGCAATACTTTTCCACATTTCCTCAGTTGGTTTTGGGAACTGTGAGGCCATCATTTGCCGCTCAATTGCACTGCATGTCATGTGCACAGATTCAGCCACGGTGCTTATCCCGAGCCTATATTGGAATGCTAGGCTGCTGAAACTCTCCGTTGTGCCAAGGAATCTGTTAACAAAAGAAAAAACAATGTATTACAATATATATGCTATTTTTTCAGTGAATTAATGCAAGCGGAGATGGAGAGTCCTAAGAGATGGCTTTGTAAGGTGTAAAAAGCAAAAGAAAATGCCTAGTGGTTCTGCTGGTGGCACTCTGAAGGAGTGGAAATATGAACGAGTGATGTCTTTCCTTTTGCCACATATGCAGGGACAATTGAGAATGTCCCCTTGTAATTAAAGTACAAGCTCCCTGAATGTGCCGGTGAAACAATGGTTACATGTCTTCCATCGATTGCACCTATGCAATTTGGAAAATTCCATTTATCCCAAAATTTGCAGGCAATACTTTTCCACATTTCCTCAGTTGGTTTTGGGAACTGTGAGGCCATCATTTGCCGCTCAATTGCACTGCATGTCATGTGCACAGATTCAGCCACGGTGCTTATCCCGAGCCTATATTGGAATGCTAGGCTGCTGAAACTCTTCCCTGTGCCAAGGAATCTGTTAACAAAAGAAATAACAATGTATTACAATGTATATGCTATTTTTTCAGTGAATGAATGCAAGCGGAGATGGAGAGTCCTAAGAGATGGCTTTGTAAGGTGTAAAAAGCAAAAGAAAATGCCTAGTGGTTCTGCTGGTGGCACTCTGAAGGAGTGGAAATATGAACGAGTGATGTCTTTCCTTTTGCCACATATGCAGGTCAGAAGGTTAGTATCTTGCTAATGTTGACGTTATAACCTACTAATTAGTTATTGGAAACAAGATTTTTTAGCACAATTTTGTATTAATGTTTTTGAAATATTTTATAACCTTATGCTTTAAAAAAGCAAAGCTAATTTTGTATTACTTACATTAAATTGTAAATGTACAATAATAACACCTGCTATTATTTTAGTTCAAAAACCACTTTGAGGCTGGAAGATGAACCAGTTGATATGACTGTGGCTGAGGAGGATGTGGATCCTGATATATGCCAGCTAAGCAGATCATACAGTCCCTTTACTGTTACACAAAGGCCTGCAACACCTGCACTGGAAAGTCAAATATCTACAACCCCCACACTACCCACAACCACCTCTACTCCTCCATTATCAACCCAAATACCTGACACCCCCGCCCTACATCCCAGAGTGCAGTCAATAAGGAACGACGCTCGACAGAGACAAAAAAGGAGAAGAGTTGAATCACCAAG